ACATATTTTAATTGAAACTAAAAACGAAATCAATCTCAGGTTGAACACCCCCACTTTTTTCAGTAAATAGATAAATTAGCAAAACAGAAACTAAAGTAATAAACTCCACTCTGATATCCGTGGACGGATTATTGGGTGCTAAGTTCAAATGTACACCTTTGCCTTCTTCTGCAGCCAAATTTAGAATTAATTAATTAATTAACCTTGTTTAACAAGGGTAACACACAACAGTCTTACAACTGACAAAACCCGTGGCCCTCGAATTCCTGATCGAATTGGAATTTAGAAATGTTGATTTTTGTACAGCAGCTGTTTTCCCACAAGGGAAATTTAGCAGAATCCTACTAGAGAAGACAAGAATATCAGCTCTTAGTGATAAACTGATTTTTTTTGGCCTGGAGAAGGTGTGAATTGACGTAAATTTCAGATCATTCTTCAATGCAATTTTACAAAGAACTCAGCCAGTGACAGAATGTTGTAAAGGAGAACAAGTGCACCGAGGAATCAGGACTGGAGGGCAATCACATGCTATTAAGAGACACAAATACGTCTTGAATCCATTGGCTTAATGACTACCGGTAACTTGTCTATCTAGATTTTTCCTTTTTGGTCTAGGGGTTAGGGCCAGGTTTGGGGAAAAAGGTTTAAAAACATCAAAATCTCAAAAAGAAGGCTATTTTTGCTATCGTTGTACAGAAAACTGCTAGATAGTGCATTTTACCTCTTTAGCTGACTGCTTTTCGGCATAAGTAGTTTTAAGGAGCACAAAAAAAGACCAAAAAATGGAATCTTCATTGACGGGTAAGAGTGTAATTGGGCCCAGGGGGACTCCCATATAAAAAGGACGAGGGTGCTCGTCGGAAATTTTGAAAAGAACCCCTAAGAGGTACCAAGATCTTGTTTTGTGGGTGTGGCTTGAAATTGTTTCCACCCCTAATAGTTACCAATTCTAAAACAACACATTATCTCCTGTCATATTTTTTTTTCGTCTCAATACCCTAAAAGGTAACTTTTGAGGCTGAACATCCTAAGAGGTACCAAAACCGCTTTTTTTCACCCCGAAAAGATACAACAAGCACCCCTGTCCTTTTTATATGGGAGTCCCCCCCCCCCTGCCGCCCCTTGGAATAAGTAAGTAGGTCAACATCAATTTTCAAATATGACAACACCCAAACAACATGGTATGTAGACTTATCAACTCTGTGTATTTAGTAGGAATTTCACAATTTGTGGCATATTTAAGGATAAGGAAATCTGTCATTCAGTTGTTTAAAAGTGCTCATTCATAATACGGGACGGTATGTGAATAGCCTCCTTTTGGCTCGTCACGCAATCTTCCTTTGCGTGACGAGCCCAAAGAGCGTCTGCACAGGAGGCTAGTATGTGAAATGAGGGAGTACTTTTTCTCAATTAATTATAATAAAGGTATACGGAGGACTGAGAAAGGGGTAAGTTTTCTGTCAAAATGGAATACAAAGGGTAAGGGGTTGGACATTGGGGTGTAGCTTCTCCGTATAACACCTTGTAGATAGCCCCCCTCGACGGAGGTGGCTGACAGCATTTGGCACAAACCAAACTTGAAATTCCCTCACTTGAACATTTACAAATGCGCGCGTACTCGCCGTTGTATATATGACCCATAATGGTTCTTCTATTTGTGTTATGCGCTCCCTCTGTTGGCAAATCATGTTTTTTGCTCTGACGTTTGTCAACTGAGCTGCCTTCTTCCGTTTTAGGCCTCACAGCCGAAATTGCCTATGGAGACTTAACGCGTCATTCCTTTTGTTCTATTCCTTCTCCGATTATTTTCTTGTAATTTTTTTTTTTCTGGCCTTGAGAAAATCTTACGGTCAGGTGTTTCTACACGAGAACGGAACGTTTGAGAACAGCGGACGCCTGACAAAATAAATGTGTGCGAGTGAATATATGAAATGTATTAAATTTGAACTGCGTAGAATGATGAAAAATTATGAATGATCATCGCAGCTTTTAAGGAGTTGTCAAATAACGTCTGGAAAATAAGAAAAAATTGAGGCTTGAACGGGATTTGAGCTCAAGACCTGTGCGGTAATGAGGATGCTCTACAAATTGAGCTATCGAGCCAACTGGGAGCTGGCCAAGTTGCGAGTTCGTAAGATTCCAGTAGATGCTGAAGAATGCAAGTGAATCTAATAATATATATATATTACATTTAAACTGCGGAGAAAGATGTAAAGACATGAATGATCATCGCAGCTATGTACGTGAATGGAATTAATGTATGTAAAATAACACCTGAAAAAAATATATACGCAGTTATAACATATGGCATGTGGGACGATATGGCCGCTTTTCGCATTGAAAAGCTCCTTTTCGGAGAGAGAGCGTATGTGTGCCATCAATCTTTACTAGAGTAAAAATGAAATTCTGCTTACGGACTCTTGATCAGGTTTGGGTTGCCCACATTTCGGTTTTTAAAAAGCAGTTACCTTTCTTTTCAAAGATTTTCTTGAGGAGCATGTCTCTGGATCCTCCCCACCGTACTGGCTAACGCTTTGGCATTTCAAGCTTCTCCCACCCACTCAAAATGCTGCTGGGCCGCGCCCTGCCCCACTTTTTATGGTAATGATCCAAAGTGATTTCCAGTACAATGGAGTTTGTCAGTGTCAGGTTTGATCAAGTTTAGGCGCCTGATAAAACTAATAACCGAATAGGAGATTCGAATTATGCTGACAAAGAACTATTCGATGTGGGGGCGAAACCGGCAGCTACCTTCTTGCAGTAGTCTTGGAGGTCGAGAAATCTTGCAGTCTTGTGTTTATGAATCAGACATCATCATAAGGTGCTTTTGGTTTCCTCTGCTTAATAGGGAATGTAGCCTGCGATCAGGCGTTCTTTTTTCTCGGCAAATGGGGGAAGGTGAAGGTTCCCTTCCCCCATCCGCCAAAAAGAATAAAAGAAAGCCTGATCGCAGGTCATAAACAATCTATATAAAGGCATTCTGTCACATCCCCTTCGATTTGTTACGTGATATGACTGAATTTATGAAAACCATGTCAATACTGTACCAAAACAGCCATATGCACTTAATTTGATTTCACAACTCCAAAAGGCCTTAAAATCACTCCAAGCGATAAAACAACAACAACAACAATAGAGGGAGGAGAGCAAGAAAAGGAAGATAAGAGAGCGAACCGAGGAAAAGATTGACATTCTTTTTTTATATCGTCTACTTTAACACTGTTTTCATAAATCCAGACATATGTATAGGTGTTCTTTCACAACCCCTTCGATTTGTCATGTGGTGAAGGAGACAGGACTAGGGGCTCAACGTGCCTTTCCAATGGCGCAATAGTCTGAGTTGAGACAAAGTTCATAATGTATGGCTGCATAAAATTGGTGGTCTGATTTGATTGGCCCGACCACGCCTCTTTTAAGGCAGACGCTCAACCAACTCAAACAAAGAGCTGGTAAAAAATCTGACGGCGCAATGGATCAACGTAAGTCGTTTATTTGACTAAAAATCTAGAAGATCGGTACTGGTCTTTTCCCAAGATTTGCCTCATTAGCAAACTGTTCAAACGCTTGTGAAAGTCGATCACGGCGAAAATGTTAGCTCTCGAGTGTAGTATTCAAAAATCGCATATTCTCTGGGTACGTGGCCAAAGTGCTCATGAACAAATGCATTCTTTGTAAAATATTTAGCCTGTGAGCGGGCTCTTCGCGGGAAAAATGAAGGAACCCGCGAATAAATAGTCTGCCTTAAAATCAGGGTTGCACAAAAATTACATCATCCTTAAATTCCTTGGTGGGGGGCGCGATGGCCTCATGGTGGGTCCATGGTTAATGCGCTCGTCTCCAGATTGAGCGGTCCAGGTTCTAGCCCTGGCTGGGGACTGTCTGTTATGTTATTGGGAAAGACACTTCTCTCACAGTCCCTCTTTCCACTTCGGTGTATAAATCGGTACCGGTGAACTTAATGCTGGGGGTAACCCTGCGATAGACTAGCATGCTACAGAAATTGGGATAAGCTCCGGCCTGATGGGCCACCTTGCTCGTATGCAGACTTTACCTATTTAGACTTACCTCAGATTCCTCGAGACAGCTAATCGTACTGTTACCTTTCAATATTTCAGAACTGATATTTGTTGTAGATCGATGATTGTGACAGATATGACCTATAAATATTTTCCTTGAAACGGACGGGTATACGGTTTTAGCAACTTTAACAATCATGGATTTTACTAATGTGAACAGATGCGGTTTCACCTCAGAACCTTTTTATTGGAAAGCGTTTGTGTTCTTTCCGACTTTGGGCGACTTTCACAAGTACTGGTCTGAAGTTAGTCTGTGCAGTGCTATGTCATCATCACCCAGTTCACGCACTATTGTCCATTTATTCAGTCCATGCCTTGGTTAGCCACATTGTTTAGCCATAATCATGCATTTCTACTCGAATGCAGAGACTCCAAGTATATTCTGGCCACAGATCTTGCTGGGGCAATACTCGAGCACTTGAGAATGCTGAACTTTGTTACATCTTTGAAACTACTTTGAGGGGACACTGCACAGTAACCAGTCAAAAAGCTTGATGCTAGGTGGTAATCCTTTCCTCAGAGAATCAAGCAAAGGGAGCTTCTTAGCCTGTTGTGGGATTTTAGATGCTGGAAAGGGTGAATAAGAAGAAATAAGCTTTCTGACTGACTGCTTTATTTCTACCACAGACACAAATAAGAATTGGGAAGTGATAATGTAGAAAACTTCCTAAGATTAGAGGTCATTAGAAAGCCTCCTAAGATGAGAAAACCTCCCAAGATATTTTTCCCGTAAAACATCTCCCTAGACACCCCTAGGGGAGATGTCAGACAGACCCATCTTCAGATTACGACTTAATGCTACAAGTTCACATTTCAGTGATAAGAGATGCTTTCTTTGGTGGCTTTGATCCTCCCCATGCCTGCTCTAGGTTTTCTGTTTGTTCCTTATGCTGTTTATAGGACATGGACACTTCTGCATGTATCACTTGTATATCAAGAGCAAGGGATTCCAAGATGACAGTGTTCGAGTGAACCCATGCTAACAAAAACTCTGCTTTCTTTTTTGCAAGCCATAGGGATTTACACAAATGTTCTTCTTGCTGGTTCAATTTAGAGTTCAGCTTCAGTTTTTCCCTTCCTCTGCTGAGAAGTCTACAAAGATGCGACATCGCATGTTCTACAAAGTTTGTTCTTTGTTCTTCATTAACCTTGTGTCCCCTGATCAAAGATATAACATCAAGAATGACCAAATGAGATAATTCCTCAGAGCAACAGAGGTCCTTGGAATGTTGTAAAACACTCAAAGAATTATGAACCACAGACTCTACGCTCTCAAACACAGAATTTTGAGACAAAACTGGTGAAAGCTGCAACAAATCCTCAGCTGCCTGGTCTAGACTGTCCTCAGGGCACCCATTGTATAGTCTCATGATATAAGCATAGGAGAAGAGGACATCAATACAACTGAACTGAACATTTGGATTTGGAGTTGAAGATTTCATGATTGAACTTAATGGAGGAATATTCCTTTTGACTGGTGGAATATTGTGATCTCTGTTTTGTTCCACTGTTTGAGGTTTCTCATTATTTGAGGGCTGAATCTCTTCTGTAGCAGCATTTTCTTTACTTAAATCCTCTATCTTCTTCCTAAACGTCAACAAAGGAATTTAAAATAAAGTAAATACCACATCCAAGAAATAGTAAAGAAAGAATAGTAACCTTGAATCATGACAACTGCAATGACACAAGGAACTTGATAAGCATTTATTAGGGAGAGATGACCTTGAAAATATTTGGCTAGAAGTCGTGAACAAGAACTGAGTATTTTCCCATCTGGCTGACCCATCTGGCATCAAAGTTTGCAACATGGCTGTATTAGCCAATTTCAAATTCAGTATTTTGGTAATTTTAACCTGGAGAATGCCCTTTTAGCGTTTCAACTGACAAATTTTACTTAGTATAAAATCTTTTCCTCAAGTTTCTATGGCACTTTCCTGGTTCAAGGGGGTGAAGGACATTTGAAAACCTTGGACAGAACATTTGAATGACTGTTTGTGTTCTCTGTACTAAAATCTGGAAATAGTTGTTCAATCAGGGTTGCAGACAAAATGTGGGGTAGGCCATGGCCTAGGCCATGGTGAAGGCCATGGCCTACCCTGTGGCCTACCCTATGGCCTGCTGTCAGATTTTTAAAAACATAAACATAACATTAGTAAAAGTCAAATGAGTACCGGTACTCTGGCATAAAATTCTATCCCTCTGATAGAGGTATACTAAAAAGTCACTTACATGATTTTCCATGTCAGAGGGAACAAAACAATACAAATCTTACAGCACTCAGCCTTGAAATATCCTATTTCTATCTCACCCAAGCATTCAACGATAACAATACAATAATACAATACAATACAATACATTTATATAGTGCAAATTCCATAAAGTAATGTTCAAATGCACTTCACAATGTAAAGTACGTAAAAAGGGTAAAAATTACACTAATGAGGTAAATTCACACAGTAAAAATGGAAAACAGGTTAAGAGGGAGGGGAATGGCCAATATTGCATGGTCGCTGAGGATATGCAAAATAGCGGCTCCATGATCCATACCAGCTGCCAGTTTGTAACTTATAGTGGAATGCTAGTATAAACATGTAATGAACAATGGGCTGTGACTAAAAGTGGGACTGGGACATGGGATGCGGGACTCGGGGACGTGAGAACCCAGGGACGTGTGAACTCGGGGACATGTGCACTCGGGATGTGTGGACTTGGGGATGAGTGAAGTGGGGAATGTGTGGATTTGGGAAGGTGTGTACATGGGGACATGGGACTTGGGGATGTGGGACTCGGGGACATGGGACTCGGGGACATGGGCTACAAGGATTTGGGGACTTGGGGATGCAGGAATATGGGGACACAGGTACATGGGACATGGGGACTTGGGGACATGATAAGCAAACATCACCTGATTTTTGTGCTAAATGTGTAAAATATAATTTTCAGTCATGTCCAGAAAGGCAAGGATAAGGCACAGGTTTTTAAAGTATTAACAAGAAAATGCAGTTATTTAGTTACCAGGAAAGTCCTCCATGGCTGCCAACGAAGTTTACAACCCCTTGCATTGAAACTTTTCTGTTCTCACACACTAAATGCCATTTGTCTGTACACAACAATGCAACAGCACTTTATTGACAATTCTATCAACATCACAATGATATCAGAATCGTAGTCAACAACAGGAAAAAACTACCCAAACGTTCAAACACTTCTATAAACATCAGGCAAGAACTCACTAAGGGGTGGGAGTGTAGGAAAACTGTCGCAGTGTCTGGCAAGAAAAGAAAAACCGAATAACAATGAACGAGTGTGAAACTGACCCCCTGACTCATACCCAGGTCCCCCCAAAGGCATTCAGTGTGAGAGAACTTTGTTTCCTGTCTCTTTTGCAAGCTCAGCCAGCAGGAAAAACATTACTCATTTCTCTCACAGTAAGATAGTTAGCAAACGTATCAGGCCAAACCATGGATGCTGGGAATTGTCAGCTACTGCTGACAAGCTCGTCAGGATATAATACCTTTCTGAACACCACTGAGTCCACATATCTCCGAGTCTACACGTTCCCAAATCCACACATCCCCAAGTCCATGCATCCTTGAGTCCCACATCCCTGTCCCACTTTTAGTCACTGCCTAGAGAACAGCTTAATGTTGATATGCTACCATACTTCAGTAGGGAAAGCAAGTTAAGTTTGTTAAATGTTTATGAAGGTGAGGCCTGCATGTCCCTGGATGCGGTTACAAATTCAATACTCTACAGCACTAAAAAGGCACTTAAAAAACTGTCCTGGAAGTATATACTATTTGCATCATCTTGCCTTCAGATGTTGTCCTATACAATGCCGTTCACTGCATGTTTACACTAGCACTCCACTTTATGTTTAAAACTGGCAGCCGGTATGGATCGTGAAGCTGCCATTTTGAATATCCTCAGCGACCATGCAATATTAGCCATTCCCCTCCCTCTTAACCTGCTACTAAAGGTTATGGTTGAGTGCTTTGGAGGGGTATACATCGAAGAGAGAGAGAAATAGGATGTTTCAAGGTTGAGTACTGTAAGATTTGCATTGTTTCATTACAACTGATGTTGAAACTCGAGTTAGACCATGTTAATTATGTTAATGTTTTTGAAAATCTGACCACCTGTACGCCACAGGGTAGGCCATGGACTACACCACGGCTTACCCCATGGTCTTTAGGCCTACACCACTTTTTTTTTCTGGAGTTCGTTACCTGTTTTTAATTCCATCCCTTAGACTCCACCACGGAACCCAAACGTCAATGACGTTAGAAATCTCTCCACTTTTCACGGCCGATTCGAAATCTTTTCGCTCATCCTCTGTCAGCGCTGACCAAACCTCTTCTGGATCACTGTTTATGTCTATATCTTGGAAGCGTTCCTCTAGATCCTCAGTGTCACAAGTCTCCTCTTCTTTATCTTGTTCCTCTAGTTTCTTCATCATCTCAAGTATTTTTAGCTTGTCTTCTAAACTGCCTTTTTGTTCTCTCAATGCTTGTAAGACGCAATCTTTGTAGAAAAGTTCGGAACACTGCAAGTGTTTATCGCTCTTATAACACGTACTGGAACAGTAACGAACATTACAGCGGGGACACGTGTACTTAGATATTTTCTTCAGGCAAAATGCACAAGGAGAGTTGCTCTCAGAGGGCGAAAGAACGTCCAACAGACGTCCACTAACTTCTGCCATTTTGGATTCCCTGACTGGTTCCCAGTCTTTCCGAGCTAAGATACAAGGCCGAAATTATTTCTGGGAAGCTGCTTTGAAGCTGCTCAACTTCGGAAGGGTACTTGGCAAGTATCAAATGCGGCTGGTAATTATAACGCGTTAGAACGACAAAATGATTGACTCCTACTTTGTTAAGAAAGAATCAAATGGTACCAAACGCAAGCTGGATGAGAAAGAAGAGGAGGAGGAACCTAAAATGAAGGCAAAAGTTGCTGAAAGTCTAAACAACAGCTCCTGTCAAGCTGCTTCAATTTCAAAATTTTCATTTCTTGACAAGGATAGGAAAATGGATCTCCAGTGGAAACACATAACATCAGAAAACTTGAATCTTGATTTTGTGCAGCTCTTCACTAAAACTGAGGCAGATGTTCTCTTCCAAGAAGCAGAGAAAGTTATCAAGTACAATGAAGATAGTAAAGTGTTCGTTCATGGAAAATGGCATAAGGTACCGAGAAAGCAAGCTGCGTATGGAGACACAGGTCTGACTTACACATTCTCTGGTGCAACAGTTGCAGCACAGCCGTGGAGCAATGCTCCCTTTCTTAAATGTATTGGCGACCTGATTTCATCTTTGTCAGGTGGACATAAGTTTAACTTTGTTCTTGTGAATAGATACAAAGATGGTAATGACCACATGGGTGAGCACAGAGATGACGAAGCTGATCTGGTCCCTAGAAGTGTAATTGCATCTGTGTCATTAGGTCAAGCGAGGGACTTTGTATTTCGTCATAGAGATGCCAGAGGAAGTAGAGCCAAGAGAAAGATTGATCCTGTTAAATTTGAACTGTCACATGGGAGTGTGCTGATGATGAATCACCCCACAAATGTTTACTGGTTTCATTCACTTCCTGTGCGAAAAAAGGCAATATGCCCAAGAATTAACTTGACCTTTAGACAGATGGTTGTAAAAAAATAAAAGAATAATAAAAATTTTTTCTTAATTGTCTCAGTGATGTGAATCTATGTTTCTGCATTACAGTTTGACCCTGCTAATTCAAACTTGGTTAATTTGAATAATTTTCCCATTTTGTCAAACTCAAAACCATTTCCATTGTATTTGCCCTTCAGTCATTTACTATCAGTTATTTTGAAATCTGCACAATCAGGAGGTGAGCACACTAACCATGAGACCACCCCCCCCTTTCCTGAGACCACCAGAACTAAAAATCATGACATTTTATCTTCATTTATTTTATATGCACTAATTTTTCCTTCACTA